TTGCTTTGTTAAAAACATATATTTAAAAAATGTTTTGAATATTGCATGTCTTATATGTGGTTCCCAAGGAACTGACAGCTTTTATAAAATAAATATGGAAAAGTCTATCACTGATGTCAAAGACCAGTGTGAGTTCTTGCTAACTGTAGCTAAAAATTCAGATGTTGAGAATGGTGTGAGTGTGGTGGTTTGAATGTGAATGGCACCCACAGGTTCATGTATTTGAATGCTTGGTCACCAGGAAACGGAACTGTTTGAAAGGATTATAAGGACTGGGAGGCGTGGCCTTATTGGAGGAAGAGTGTCACTGCAGGTGGGTTCCGAGGTTTCAAAAGCCTATGCCAGGCCCAGATTCTCTCTTTGCCTGTGGATTAGGATCTAACTCTCAGCTATGCTCCAGTGCCGTGAGTGCCACCATGCCCCCCTGTGATGAAAATGGACTGACTAACCCTCCCGAAACTGTAAGCAAGCCCCTAATTAATTGCCTTCTTTTACAAGAGTTGCCTAGATCATGGTGTCTCTTCACAGCAATAGAACAGTGACTAAGACAGTGAGTGACCTTCCCTGCTGGCTACATTGCCATGAAGGCTGGTGTGGGTTATGGGGCAGTGGGGAAAGAGGAGAAATAGTCATCCACGATATTATCCAGCAGTAAACCTGAATGCTACAATACTGACTTGCCACTGGTGCAATAATGACATGACTATCTTTCTCAGAACCACTTTCTCAGTCCATTTGAGAGAATTTATGCGTGGTACTGTAAACCCAACCAAAACCCACAGCTTGGGAGGCCATATGCCCTAGGAGGGGAATCTATTACTATTGTGTTGCTACACTGTCATGTTATCAAAGTGCCTTTAAACACCCATGGTTATATTCATAACATTAGTCCTGCTCTCAGTCTTGGTCAGAGAAGCTTCTTTCTACAGTGGGCATTAGTTAATGTAGTGACTCATAATTAGTCAAAATGCTGAGAATGAGTGACTGTTCAGTTGTTAGCCATAAATGAGAGAGCTGTATCAATACCCCTAAGGCTCAGGGAACACAGAGGAAGAGGGGTGGAAAGAATGTTAAGAGCCAAAAGATGGGGAGGAGTGCTGTGAAATGCTGTCTTGTGGACATGACATGAGCATTGTACTCATTCATGAGCTCACTGCAGCTATGGTTACCTGCCCAAGATTACGCCAAGAGGATCAGTCAGCATTCCAGCAGACAGCAGGAACTGGACTCAATGACTTACAAAACTATATATATAAACAGGGGATAGTGAGATGGCTCAGCAGGTAAAGACACTTTCTGCCAAGCCTGATGACCTGAGTTTGATTCTCAGAACCTAAGTGGTAGAAGCAGAGAACCAACTCCTAAGAGTTGTACTCTGACATCCATAGGTACATTGTGGCACACATACCCATACACGTACAAGCACATGCACAAACAAGGAAATTAAAAACCAAAACCAAAAATCTACAGAAGGAGAAGATATGAATGCAGGAAAGGTGTATGGGTATCCAGAAAGATAAGGGAGGGGATGTTGGGGGGTTGGGAAGGTAGGAAGATATATTGTATACATGTATGAATTGGCAAAGAATATTACAAAATAAAAAAGAATGGTGAATGATTAGTGACAGGTGTTTTTCTTTTACTTCTTCCCAAATATTTACTACTAAATCACCTCTAAAGTTAGAGTCTCAGAAACACCAAAGAAGGTAAGCTAAAGACTCTCCTGAAGTTGTGCACTGTGAGCCTTCTTAGTCCACTCATGGTCTCAGCCTCACCCTAACATGAAGCTATTTCTTTACCAGCCAAGGAACCAGCTTTCTATGGCATTCTTCAAGTTTTCTAGGAATATCCCAACCCCACATTATTCAATACTTGGCACTAGTACCCTCAGCATAAAGTTCACTGTCAGATGAGAAAATGTTGTATTACCACCATAACATCCCTTTCTTCCCTTTCACTTTTGTACAAGGAGTTGGTGGAGGGAAGCCTTACTGCTCCAATCTCTGACAATTACCTGACTCCCTGAAGCTCTACATACCAAGCTGGACTTCTCTTTGCTCACTCCCAGGATCTTCTCTAACAGCTTGAACCCTACAGGATCTGTTTGGCATCAGCACCAAGGACACACCAGGCTAGTGCCAGACTACTCCTGCTCACTGCATATATGTAACCTGCAAAGTTGCTCAATGATCTAAGGTTCATCACAGACATCCAGCACCTAACACGTCAAATCCAATGATCTTCATTTCCTGATTCATCAGTTCTGTAACATTCCTTTGGATGTTAGAAGCCATAATGTTTTATCAAGAGGGAAAAAAAAAAAAAAAAAAAAAAAAGCCTGTAGAAGACTAGCAAGGAGTGTTTGCTAAAAACACAAAACAAAAAGGGGGGGGGGGTTTACAACTATATATGACAACACATTAAATCACTAAGAATGGGTGTCAAATGTTTTTTTTGTCATGTTAAGTTAAAACCAAACCTTTAAACTCAAGTTAGAAGAGTATGATCACATTGCAGACTGAAAATTCTTAAAAAGGCTAATGTTCATGCATGCATAAAAAGGAGCAAAAAGCTATAATCCAAAATGTAAACTTATAGTGAGAGTATGTTATATTAATTTTATTTATAATGCCTGTATTTTAAAACTTTAGACAAAAATATGCATTGCCTCTGCCATTTTACCTTTTTTTTTTTTTTTTTGTAAATAGTTCCAGCATTCAGAGGCAGATAGGGATCTCTGAGTTTGAGGCCAGTGTGCTCTACATAGCAAATTTTGGGCCAGCTAAAATTTTGTATCTCAAAATAAAGAAGTTTTAAAAATCAGAAATAGGGCTGGAGAGATGGCTCAGAGGTTAAGAGCACTGGCTGCTCTTCCAGAGGTCCTGAGTTCAATTCCCAGTAACCACATGATGGCTCACAACCATCCCTAATGAGATCTGGTGACCTCTTCTGACCTGCAAGCATGAATGTAGGCAGAACACTGTATACATAATAAATAAATAAATTAAAAAAAAAAAATCAGAAATAAACAAATTAGTATATAGTCACATAAATCACAGAGACTATTACACTTAAAAATTATAAATCTCCAATGTGGATTAATGAGAAACCAACAAAATGATATGTCAGTCTGGCTGGTAGAGCTACATTTTGGCAGCCTAGATAAATACCAGCAAATTATGACTGGAAATACAGGAAGGAAGCTCTCTCTTACACTGGAGAAAAATGACAGATAGCTCTCCTACCCCTGAGGATATGGGCTCACAGTCAGCCACAATAGCAGATGGGCACACAGCCCCTAGAAACATGGAGTCTGCTTCCAGAGCAGACTGGCCAACAAACTTCTATTACATTTTTGTGGCTACACTGTCATTTCCAATTTTCAAAAACAAAAGTACTAGGAATGGAAATATGAATGAAGTAGCTAAAATGAGGGACGGTACAGTGAGAAAATATAAGGTTAAAAAAAACCAAACAGTTGCCAGGTGGTGGTGGCGCACACCTTTAATCCCAGCACTCGAGAGGCAGAGGCAGGCAGATCTCTGTGAGTTCAAGGCCAGCCTGGGCTACAGAGTGAGTTCCAGGAAAGGTGCAAAGCTACATAGAGAAACCCTGTCTTGAAAAAAAAAAAAAATGTTAATAAAGGGATACCAAGGAGAAATGAATATTAATTTAGATATGGAACAAACCAGAAAAAAGGGAAGTACAAGTAGAGGAAGATGTCCTCTGCATAAAACTAAGTCCTTTATTTGTTTATAGTTAATTGCACATCACAGCAATGTCAAGTGGCAGCACATGAGTGGACTGAAGGAAGCTGAGGGAGAAGCACAAAAGGCAGCAGCAGACACTGCACCCAGCAGCAAGCTGTCACTCCGGCCTCAGTGTCAGCGGCTTATGGCCAGGTGATGGATATCTGTGCATCTGCATGCCCAGCAAAATGTTTTATATAAAGAATTCTTGATAAATACTACAGGAAAAGTCACTTCCCGTCCACAAAAAACCCACTAAGCAGTTTGTATGCCTATAATGCAAACTATGATTCTGGGCCCAAATAAAAAGGCTTTTTTTCAGTCAGGCAGTAGTGGTGCACACCTTTAATTCCAGCACTCAGGAAACAGAGGCAGACAGATCTCCAAGCTCAAGGCCTGCCTGGTCTACAGAGTGAGTTTGAGGACAGTCAAGACTATACAGAGAAACCCTGTCACAAAAAAAAAAAACAAAAAACAAAAACAAAAAAAACCCAAAAAAACAAAAAACAAAAAATTTTTTAAAGACTTTTTCATAAAAATAGGTAACAATCAGGAAAAATATAATGTTTACTGGGGATGTAATGATCTATTAGTCTCTAGGATACTGACATAGAAGAGGACCTCAGTGCGAACTCCTAAGGATTCAGAGGCCTTAATGTCTTAGGATGCTGCCCAATAGCATTAATTCAGAAGCTGAATTCAGGCCAGGCCTTTTCTGGCTAAGAAAGCACATACTCTCTTGGCAATTCAAGCCCATGCATAGCTCATGCTTCCTTGGGAATACCTCTTGTATACACACTCTGGCAGGGCCAGGACTACAGGGGCATTCTGTTGCCTTCAATGCTGAACTTGACAGCACGGTGCATTTTGCTGAGCCTCTTCTGTTCTGCAAACCGCCTCTTATGCTTTTCCAACCGACTTAGGCCCTTTTTAAGAATACCAGGCTAGAAAGAGTGGTTTGATGGGAGAAAAAGATTACCAAGAAACAGCATTTGGGTAATGTCTTCACTGACGACAGGGCAAGTGTCTATTCTGACAATTTCACAACAAATGTTTAAGCAGATGGAGAGAAAGAGAGAAGAAGGCTCTGAGAAAGCAGGTAAATTTTATTTCTCATGATTCTTTAAGTGAATGAATACCTAAGAGATCCCAAAACAGATCTCGTGAATGAAATAAACCATAACTGCTACACACATTATTAAACAGAAAGGGGAAAATTCAAATGGTTTTGCTCTTCCTCTGCTCACTCACCCTGGATGACTCCATTTCTACATTCCACTTGGGCCTGACGACATAGTCCTTGTTTGATGGCATTGGAACTCTAGCGCGGGCACAGAAGCCAGGATCTCCAGGTCTAAGAGCCCTGAGGAAGGGAAGAAAAACTAATTATTTAGCTGGCCACAGGAGTCTAAGTGAGATTTCACCCTTGTAAACCCAGGCCCATCACATTCAGCTGCAATGCTTCAATCCCCTGTCATCCCACCATTATACTACTAGTGTGTGAACTACTCACTCTTCAATGCCAATTTCCTTTTTATATGAATTCTTGCTTCTCCTTGGCTTCAGATGTAATCATGCCCTGTCCTTTCCAAGGCTAGTCTCAAGAAAACTTTGTTTTTAAATTTCTATGTATGAGCATTTGCCTTCATATATGCACATGTACCACTAGAAAAGGAAGTCAGGCCCCTTGGAACTGGAGTTACAAACAGTATGAACCACAATGTGAGAGCTGGCAACCAACCGTAGGTCCTCTGCAATAACAGCAAACGCTCTTGAGCCATCTCTCCAACTCAAATATTCTAAATCCTAAGTTCTCTAACCAAGTCTCGAGAGTCACTAGGCGATGAGGAAAAATGAGGTTGTCTAAATGACAACCTAATGGAGAAAACTTTGTGAGGTCACTACAAATTCCCTTGCAGTTATAAGAAGTAATAGAGAGACCCCAGTGTCTCTCTCAATGGTAACAACTTTCCAAACTATAGTGTATCACAGTGAGGACACTGACACAATCTACTTTATCTTATCTCCTTCACATTTCTCAGTTTTTCTTGTACTCATTCATGCTTATATTCAGACAACTTTGAAAATAACCATGCCACACTAAGATCACAATTCTTAGTAAGTAAAGCCCTTCTGTCAGTGTCTGGGCATTTAAGCCATTCAATCTTTAGGAACTCCCCCAAATGTATGCAGAGCAGACTTATACCTGCTGGGAGTAGGGAGCAAGCATCTACACTCTTCCCTCCAGGCTCCGTTCCAGCGTATAAGAACACATCTTCTGTACTGGGTCTTTGGCTACACTCCTCTGCCAAATTGGTTAGTTCATTTCTTATTCTAGGCTCTAAACTGAACATTCCCCCCAGCTATGGAGATAACCATCAAATCTGTGTCTAGCATGACTAGACCCCATGGTGTTGAAGAGTATCTCATTAAATATCTCACCGTGAATAGCTTGAAAAATAACTTACTACTGATTTCTTCAAATCTACTTATCCTTAGTTTTAGTGATCAGTAGTATCACTGTCTCCATACTGCAGTTTAAATATTTGGTTAGAATCTTCAATTGTAAACCAACTTCTCCCTAAACATGTCACCAACTCTAAGCACTACCTCTACAATGTCTTCTCAGCCTTCTGCTACCCTCTGACTAACCCCATTTAGCTGTGTCACTGCCTGCAGCCCACTGCTCTACTGTCCAAATGATGCCTTCAGAACCAACATTTCTAATCAAATATGACAGTTTCTCACAAAGGCTCAAACCTTCTGCTGAATTATAAAGAGAAGCAAACCTTCCACAGCCTGACCTGGGCTCCTGCTGGTCCACACCTGCATCTCCAGGACTGTCTCTTACCACACCTGTCACCTCACACTGCCGCTGCTTCAGCACCCCTGCCATTCTGAAACCAGGACGGCACACGTGCCTACACATCTTGGTCTATCGCCCTTCATGAAACTATACTTGACAACACGGGAAAATTTTAAGCTTCTTTTGTATTCTTTAAGCTTTAAACTAAAAGAATTTTAGTACTTAGCAAGCAGCCACAAAATACTTGTTAAGTGAACTATTAATTCTTCAGAGCACCCAATATAAATTGAAAAAAATCACCCTTTATTAACGGGAACACATAATTTAATACCGTTCTTACAATGAAGTAAAAACAGAGATGCTCTATACATGCTAAGGAAAATCAAGGCAAAACCCTTACTTACTTTTCCTCTCCTGTCAGCACCTTCTCCAAGTCTCTTCGCGGTGTCTGACCACCAGTGCTGGGAAAAGAACAAACAGTGAGATACCAGGATCTTAAATCCTTACAACTAGGAAAAGCACATCCAACTATCAAATTCATACCAAGGTAAGTGCCTTTCTACTGAATCACAGAAACCATGATGTGTGTGTGAATGTGAGGGAGTGCAGTGGTGGTCAGAGGGTAACTTTCCTTTCTGACTTCACTTGGGTTCTTGGGATCACTCAGGCTGCCAGACTTGCACAGCCTTTACCCTATGAGCTGACTTGCTGGCCTGAGAACTTGTAATCGTTTTAAAGTATTGTTCACCTTAATACTCATTCATGAAGCAGGTTTCATTCTGGGTGATCTACACTAACTATACTTGTAACTGATAACCCTGCCCTCAAGGAAGTATCCAGAAAACGGAAAAATTGAACCAACATTTTTTCCCCCTAGGGTTTTGGAACTGGGACTGAGAAAGTTGTTTTCTGCAAATGGCTAGAACACTCCAATCTCTAGCACTCCACCACTGTGTCCCAGAAAGGTCCTCCCATACACACTACATGAGATTTCACGTGTGCATTCCTACCTGTTCCCTCATACCTGCTCAGTCTCCGTCGCTGAGGCATTTGCTCTAGATCCCTCTGCTCCCTTTCTTCTCTTGTCATTCCTTTATAGTTTGAGGTGAGACCAAATATAGGCCGAGACCACTCGTCTGCAGTAAGGAAAATAGTAATTATTTAGCCTACAAAACAGCATTTCTCCTGGGTTGTTAAATAATCACACCCTAGTAGTGGGCAGTATTATAGGCATTTATAGAGCATTCCTTTTTAAAATGTGGAGCACAGGAAGGATGAAAACAAACCTAGATTCATAATCAATATGTACTTCAGTTAGGACCCAGACTTCTCTGGCATAAACAGGTAAGTGTAAGAAAAGGTCTTGGAGGCAACCCACAGCAACAATGGCTTTCTTGACAGTAGTGCTCTCTACATAGCCTCTCATTTAATCTTTATAATAACCCAAAGAAAACAAAGAATTACTAAAATCTCTTTATTACACAGGTGGAGGCCAAGCTTGAAGATTAAGTCACTAGCTGAGGATTTGCAGGAAGGCAGTGGAGTCAAGACTATGAACTAGGCATGGTTAATTCCAGGGCCTGCATTTTCCTCTCTCCATGTTCTTGGTGCACAGCTAGAAGACATATGCTTTTAATCGCTGTAGTTAATACTGGAAAGCATATTTAAATAAACTTAAGAGCATTTTAAGTCTAAGAGTGTACATAGGCACTAAAATTCTTCTATTTCACTTTACTAAATCATTTTAAACAAATATTGGTAAAAATATAGTTTTTACACATGCACATCTCTCCCTCTATAGACATTAAACAAATAAAAAGCAAACTTTACATACTGATTAATTTCCCTGCCATATCCTTGTTGGACCTTGATTCCTTGGGGTGTTTATACAGATACATCACTGCTCGTCCAATCCCACTATGCTTCAGGGTCTCCTGGCTCACACTAGGTAGCTGGGGAACAAAAACATGCATATTAACATGCATATTAACATAAAACATGCACAATATTAACAAAATACATGCATATTAATTACTCAGGAGCTAGGAGGCATACTAATTTGGAGATCTTCAAGGCCTTATTTGTTCACATTAGAACTAACACAAAATTCCATTTTCAAGATCTATAAAGACATGGAACATCCTTTGTGCTGACATCAAAAGTCAAGATTTCAGTATTAGTGGAGTAAAACATAATCATGCAAGGAAATACCAACTACGCATACTTAAGAGGACAGCAGTTCTGCCCAGGCCTTGGAATCCAACATACCTAAGCCTGAATCCTAGCTGCATGACCTTAGATAAATCCTTACCTTGTCTTGGTTTCCTCATTTACAAAATGGAGGCAATATCCCTATCTTACAAGTTTATTGTGAAAGACCAATAAGCCAATACAAACACAAAGCATCTAGCTTCTTCAGATGTCAAGCAGGGTATCCTAATCATACAAAAAGGGAACCCAATTAGAGATTCCAATTCAAGTTTATAATCTCTAAATGTAGTACACTTTCTACTTCAATTACCTCTCTGCTTGCTCCCTACTGGACTGCTCTTCCAAGAAACCCATGGCTGCACTAAGAACTCTTTCCTTGAAAGCTGTCATCAACCAAATTTTATAAGGTTTTTCTTTTTATGTTCATTTTATTTAGTATGGTCTCTTTTCCCAAAACCCCCTTTCTGGCAGACTGTAGCTAAACAAATTTATAAGGAAATGGTACAAAATACAGGTCTTGACTACAGAAAAGAAACCACATTAGCTATTTAATGGATTAGATTATGTATGCTAACCTCTTGCAGAATCTTCAACAGCTCCTCCCGAATCTTCAGTGCAGGCAAACTCCTGTCTGGTAGAGGTGAGAGCCATTCTTTGATGGCTGACATCACACCACTGTCAATAAATGTTTCTTTAAGGTCCTGCCTGAAATAATGATGACGAACATGATGATAATGCCAAGTCTATCACCCTCTGATTTTACTTACATAGTGATGTTTCAAAAAAACTGCTTTTAAAGAATTATTTACATACTCAATATGTACTCAACCCCTTTCCTAGTTTCAAAAGCAGCATGAAAGCTAGCTTACACTTCAAAGGTAACTCACTAAGATATGCAGGTTTTATAAAATAGATTAAAAGTGGTATCAATGATACAGATAGTTAAAAAAAAAAAAAAGCCCAATATCCCAACTTTAAAAAACAAAAAAAAAAAGAGGCTGGAGAGATGGCTCAGCAGTTAAGAGCACAGGTTGCTCTTCCAGAGGACCCAGGTTCAATTCCCAGCACCCACATGGCAGCTCACACCTGTCTGTAACTCCAGTTCCAGGGGATTTGACACCCTCACACTAATGTCCATAAAGTAAAATTAAATAAATTATTAAAAAAAAAATCAACCTATAGGTCATTTCAGAGTGGGGAAAACAGAACTGTGCTATTCTCTGACAGAAAACAAAGAAAATATAGTTTTCCTAGCAGGGGGAACAATATTTCAATCGAATACCATATTTAAATTCTGCTTTGTGCAATGGAATGAATTAGAAAATTTGGCGATGGAGAAGTTTTCTAGTTGGATCCCCAGTGTGCTAAGGCATTTCTTCAACTATCAAAACAAGGCTGTGACTTTTAAGATTTATTTATTTATTGTGTATAGTGTTCTATGTGCATATATGCCTGCAGGCCAGAAGAGGGCACCAGATCTCATTTAAACGGTTGTGAGCCACCATGTGGTTGCTGGGAATTGAACTCAGGACCTCTGGAAGAGCAGCCAGTACTCTTAACTGCTGAGCCATCTCTCCAGCTCCCAAGGCTGTGACTTTATAGAGAATTGCCCAACAAGGACTTGGGAAAAGCGCCATTCAAGAAGAGCAATGACTGATGAATAGGGTCAGATAAATCTACAGCACAGACAGGCTGCAAGCAACAGCTCCCAGGCTTGCTGCTTCCTACCACCTTGGGAAAAATACATGAAAGTTTACAAGGTCTCAATTGTCCATAAATGATAAAATTAGTAAATTTCCAGGTTTTCTTTAATATTACCAGTTTTCTGTCTGTTCAAAAAGCACTAAGGCTTAAGAAAAATTCATGAACCGGGTGGTGGCAGAGCATGCCTTTAATCCCAGCCCTCAGGAGGCAGAGGTGGGCAGATATCCGTGAGTTTGAAGTCAGTCTGGAAGTTTTAGGACAGCCAGGGCTACATAGAAAGATCTTGTCTCAAAAAACAAAGATTTATGAAGAACCATAACTGAGGAAAATTTACTCATCTCTAATTTTCTGTGGTCCAACAGAAGGCCATAATTATTCAATAGTTCTAAAACAATAGTGTACAGGTTGAATATTATTTTACAGGTCAGAATGTGTTTGCCTTCTTCTTGTTATTTTTCTCTGTGCAGCCTTGGTCGCCCAGGAACTCACTCTGTAGACCAGACTGGCCTCAAAATCAGAGATCCACCTGTCTCTGCCTCCAGAGTGCTGGGATTAAAGGAGTGCATGCACCACCATCATCCAACTTGAATATCATTTTATTAAAAGGAAATTTTTTCCCCCAAGAAAACAAAATACTTACTTTTTAAGGTGCATAACCACAGTCGGCAATAAAGTTAACTTTTTCAGTGCTGGCTTTTTTTGATTATTCAATTGCCTGTCTTCCTATTCAGAAAACAGAACACCCCCCCCCACAAAAAAAGGTTTAAAATAAAGCAGCATTACTCTTAATATGCAATTATAACAACCACTACAATTCTGAACCTCAAAATAGTTATTCAAAGAAAATATAATTTTCCTGAAGGAAAAGGATGAGCTATTTTACACAAAGCCAAACTCCTTATCTGTCTAGTCAATGAAACCCATAGTTACATTGCTTTTTAACTATCAGAACAGAGAGGGACAATTTCATTGATAGTACTGACAAGTGTTCAAGGTTTTGGAGTTTACTCAAGGAACAAAATACAGCTGGGAAAGTCTGCTTTATCGTCAAGAATTATCTTTCCATAAGTAGGAGGGTAGGACCTATTGCCAAAAATATTACTTGGGTAATTTCTACTTTTTTTTTTAAATCATAAAATACTATATTCTACAAATATACAACAGCGTATCCAATGTTCATTTCAACAAACAAACACAGGGTTGGTCTTCATTTAACTATAAGTCTACCTATTTCTCCCTTCACCCTTGAACTGTTTTAAATAAATACAAGACAAATCATCAAAACAATGGGCTATCTCAGCAAGGGGCTGATGGTGAAGCTCAGTCATCGAGCATTTGCCTTTGGCGGCCAAGTGCCTAGGTTCAGTCCCCAGCGCCTCAAAACAAAAAACAAAAGTACCTCTGCAAGTGTTTCTCAAGGATCAGAATTTAGTTTTTAAAAATATTTGCCAATTTTTAATAATTTGGATGGATACAGATATATATTTCCCAGTACACTGAGTCTGCTGCAATCTCTTGATCAGGGGCAAACCAACAAATGACTTTACAGCATATTTTATATTTGAATAGACATCAACCTTGGTAGTGGACCAGGAGCTATGACAACAAACCTCCTATAAAAAAAGATTCAGTTTTACTTACCATTTTTTTTTTCTAACCATGTGGCTAAATTTTGGAAATTAAGATTATTTACAGGATTAAAATTTAGCAAGTACATACTTTATTACAGAAAGCAAGATATCTTTTATAGCAGCCTAAGGTTAAACATTTAAAGAAAGAAGATGCCACACCATCCATTTGGTGGAGGAAAGAGCAGATAACCTAGAAGTGACATCTTACCTCTGCAGCTTCATTCATCTTTACGATCATGGCACTCACAACGTCATCTGCATCACTAATAAAAGTGCCCCCATCTCGATTTCGTCTGCGTTTGCCACACATGTTCTTTTTCCGTTGTAACATCATCTCAAAATCCGACAGGAAGTCCATACTAGGCAGTAACACAAAATCAAGCTCTTTAATCACTCACCTTTAATTACAATTGACAACACCGAACTGTCTAGTCTTCAGTCAAAGAAGTGCTACTTTGGTTTTGTTTTTTTTTTGAGACAGAGTCTCTCTACATATCCCTGGCTGTCCTAGAATGCACTCTGTAGACCAGGCTGGCCTCAAATTCACAGATCCACCTGCCTCTGCCTCCCGAGGGCTGGGACTAAAGGCGTGTGCCACCATGCCTGGTGAAGTGCTACTTTTTAAAAAAGCTCAAATACGCATAACTTAGTACCACAAGAACAGTGAATGAACCTTACACTTTATATCTAATTCCTGTTCTATAATATTGATAAATATGAATCACAAATAGGCCTCAGTTTTCCACAAACCACATTCACATCTGTCACCTATTAGCTTGAGAATGAACATTTCAAGTCCTCAGTCAGGAGCATATTCAGTTGAGGTATACTGCTTTTTTAGGAATAGAATATTTGAATGTTTTTGTCTTATGAACCAGGACTAGAAAAAAATGGAAAAAAAAAATCAACTGTTGCTGTTTAGTAATAAAGAGCACAACTCAAAACAAAGTTGACTGTAGGCATGCTAAGTGCCTGACCTTTACAGCCCTCATTACTTACACTTGAGAGGGTGTTACCACACTCTGCCACATGCTAATAAATTCAAACTTCTAAAAGCAGCACACTGCTTCTTAATTCTTGCACATCACTGAAAGTATTACATACATTTCTTAAAGTATAAGCTTTACAACTGTGAGCAGTTGTAAAAAATAAATCACCCGGCCGGGCGGTGGTGGCGCACGCCTGTAATCCCAGCACTCGGGAGGCAGAGGCAGGTGGATCTCTGTGAGTTCGAGACCAGCCTGGTCTACAGAGTTAGTCCAGGACAGGCTCCAAAGCTACAGAGAAACCCTGTCTCGAAGAAAAAAAAAAGAATAAATCACCCTATTCATGGCATCATCTTTTTCTGGACATGGTTCACAACTATTTTAACAAAAGTAAGTCAAGTATAATTAAAAAGCATTTTGGCATTGACTTTAGATTTATTTCCCCTGTCACCTAAAATGAACTTTTTCCCCTCCTTGAAAAAATTTTTATATTGTTATTTTTTAGTAGAGTTTATCTTATAAGAAATAAATTAGAAGTGTCATATAGTCTATAATTTAAGACATCTGAGCATACAGCAAATAACAGCAAACAACTCCCTGACACTATTTGAGGAAGTGAAGGGAGAGAAAAAAAACAAAAACAAAAAACCCTCTTCCAAGTCTGGAAACCTAGATGAGAAACAGGAAAGCTCAGTAGTCTGTACCGTCAAGACCTTTCTGGGGTTGAAATTTCTAAAAACTAACAACAAAAACACTCACTGCTTTCCTCTCTTTATGTTATCATCAGAGTCGGAATCTTCCGCTTCTTTTAGCTGTGTTTCACTCTTCTCTTCCTCCAAATCTTCTTGGTTAAATCCCTAAAGGTACAGTGAGTTAGCCAGTCACCATAACCACCTTACAGATCTCCTTCTGCAAACACCTCCCGATTTCTCACATTAAATAATATATCCACAAAGGACAACGAGCACTGATTAGGTATCAAAAGGGGTGTAGCAAAAGCTCCCTCCTTAGCCACCAGTGTGGGGAGTTTGCTTGGCTCTAGAAAAGTCCATACTCATGTGAGCACTTTCACGCTTTAGCGTCTCCTTTTAGTATGCATAGGTCAATGTACTATTCACAGAGGGTAGGAGATACGGTCCTGCACTTTCCAAATTCTACAACCTAAAATACTTTTATTCTTTGTAAGGCTATTTCACTTTTTACTATTTCACTGAAAGTATTAGAGAACTGCTACCACAGAAACGAAACAATTCATAGTTAAAAGGAATAGTCCCATCTTATACTTACTGTAAATTCCTCTTCTTCTTCATCACCAGATTCTCCAAATATATCTGCAATAAGATTTCTAGAAAACCAAATATAAAAGCACTCATCAGCTTTCTTATATTTGCATATGTACTGTTTTTTACAAACCAGGTATTATTTATGGGTCGTAAAATGAGCAGACCTTAGGCATAAAGTTCAACAGGCTTTAAACAAATGTATACACTCATATAACCAGGGCCCTAAGCGAAGAAGCCCATTTCCCCATAGCCTTTTCTCACATAGTACTCAACCCACAGGTGAAGGTGTTTTGCTTTGTTGTTCCAAATACTCTACTGACTGAGCCACATCCCCAGTCCCTTACAGCCCTTTTAAATGAGCCCTCCACCACCAAGACCCAGAGGTAATCAATCACTGACCCTAGCACCATGAATTCTGCCAGCTCTTAAATGTCATGTAATTGGAGCCATAACACATTCCTTTCAATTCCCTCTGGTCAACATATTATTTGAGACCCACTCATGTTGCAGTGTGTGGTGATACTTCAGCACTGAAGTCCTAAAGTCAAAGCCAAGCAGTTAGGCAGCTGAGGTTTTGCACCTCATAAAGTCCCTCTTTACTACTGAAGAGCCCTGGAAACCCCGTTCTCACTTACTCTTCCTCATTGCCTGATTCACTATCACTCCCAAACAGATCCTTCTCTTCACTCTTCTTTACAGACGATTCTTCTTTCCCCACGTCCTCTTCACTGTCAGATGCTACTGTCTTCTCTCTTTTACTTGATTTGTCTGATACAACATCACTATCAGAGTCGTCAGCATCAGAGACAACTCGACTCTTCTTTGCCGCTGTTAGAAAATACAATCATTCACGTCATTTTGGTTTTTTTAAATTAATTATTTATTATGTATACAATGTTCTACCTGTATGTATGTCTATAGGCCAGAAGAGGGCATTATAGATGGTTGTGAGCCACCATGTGGTTGCTGGGAATTGAACTCAGGACCTCTGGAAAAGCAGCCAGTGCTCTTAATCTCTGAGCCATCTCTCCAGCCCCCTATTCACGTTATTTTGTTATGTGTTACTAATTGTAATGTGCTGTGAAAATGTGAGCACTGGGGAAAAAAAAATCAAATAGCTAACAACTGGTGTTGCTCAGTAGCAGAGCACTTGCCTAGCAAGCTCAAGGCCCTGGGGTTCTATTCTCAGCTCAAAAACATGTAAACAGGCACAATGATAGTCATTTTATACATTTTCTGCTACTTTACTAGGAAGGAGAGGCTAAATGATAAATCATCAATGTAAGTGAGCATCAGTAAGCACCTTTCCTTTGGGGACTGAGAAAACTTGAATACAGTCTGCTGGGCAGAACAGACATCCTTTCTGTGCTGTGCAGCCTTTAATCTAAACTGTGAATTCCCCATGTTCCTTCTGGTAGTATCAGACTACTGGGTAAGATGGTGGACCTTAGGCTGCTTCTGTGAAAACCAGTGAAGCCCAGATTTAAATAAGAAAAAGCCAAGTGTACCTCAACAAGAGAAATAAAGGAAAGCTTGGGAAATCCTTGAAGGTAAGACAGAACTCTGGAAAGAACAGGAACAAAGACAAAGAATACAGAGCAGCCAGCCAAACACTTCCAAAAAGTAAGCTAGATGAAAGCCAGGTAGCCATACCCTCAGGGCAATCTACAGCTCTTATGAGCCCCAAAATCAGTTGGGGTTTATTAAGACAATGATTCTTCCAGAGGAAGAGAAACCTATGAATCATAGGGCAACAGCCAGGCATAATCTTCAGAGAATCTTTGGTTAAAAACTGAGCTACCCCAGGGGCCTGAAATCAGGAAGATCCATAGATCTCGGAGTTGCGGTTTGGCTTGCCGCCACCCCTGCTGAGGGAGGGCCCAGAGAGGCAGTGGTAGAAAGGAGAGCTGGATCATAATGGACCAAAAGGTGCAGGCAGCAGAAGGCTGCATCAGGCTAGGAAGTGTGTAAGAAAAGACAAGGAACAGATCTCATCTGTGCGAGCTGCCCCAGAGTCTGATAGCTCTGAGCTAGAGGCCAGCAGCAGATCCAAATGTGGAACCATTTATCTGTTGTTCCCTGCTCTAGAGTCCAAGAACTCTGAAAGCCAAGAACTTGAGAGCCACAGTTGCATCTCTCTAGCAGTGTGATTAGTACTCAGGAGGCCTTAAAAATAGGAACTTGGCCTGGCAGTGGTGAGGCATGCCTTAATCCCAGAACTAGGGAGGCAAGTGGACCTGAGCACCAAGTTTGAGGCCAGCCTGATAGAGTTCCAAGACAGCCAGGGCTACACAGAAACCCTGTGTTGAAAAACAAACAAAAACCATGACAGAAAATGTCAGTGCTGGGGTTGCTTTCTACACTGCCAAGGAACGTGGAGCCTTCCCCATTCCAAGCCAGAACAGGCAGCCAATCTAGGTGGAACCGTTTGGGGAGTCTGGTGAGGATCGGGAACCTGCCCAGTCCACAGACTGTGGTATGCCAAGCTCATTGTGGCCAGTCAGAGGTTCTGATATACCAAAATGAAAGAAAAACTGAAGATAACTCTGGCAGACATCAGATACCCAGACAAATCCCCCCCACACACACACACAGCATAAACTAAGTTCAACTGACCCTCTCCTGTTCACAGAAGTGGCAATCTTCAATTTTTAAGGAACCATAAAGAAACTATGCCCATACGGCAACTTTTTTCTTTTCTTTTTTCATGTAATTTTTTTCTCCTCCACATTTAAGCAGGATTTTTTATTGTACTGAATTTTTAATTTTGGTTATTCTCCTTTACATATTCATTGAATTTGTTTATGCATTTTTATTACCACTGTTGAACAGCATTTCCTCTTTTCCTTAGTTTCATATTTTTCCGTTTGGCCCGTGTCTCAGTCTTTCCTTACCCCATCGTTAGTAGTTCTGGCTTTACCTTACTGGCTTAAAAAAAAAAAACCAACATCTTTTAAAATTCCCATTCTTCCATTTATCTGATTTTGTTTTGAACATTCTCACTACTGAAGCGTTTGTTTTGTCTTCAGCGTCTGTCTATTATGCCTTCCTTCACTGACTACCTTCCTCACTGACTACCTTCCTTCACTGACTACCTTCCTCACTGACTACCTTCCTCACTGACTACCTTCCCTCACTGACTACCTTCCTCACTGACTACCTTCCTCACTGACTTCCTCACTGACTGCCTTCCTCACTGACTACCTTCCTCACTGACTACCTTCCTCACTGACTACCTTCCTCACTGACTACCTTCCCTCACTGACTACCTTCCCTCACTGACTACCTTCCTCACTGACTTCCTCACTGACTGCCTTCCTCACTGACTACCTTCCTCACTGACTACCTTCCTCACTGACTACCTTCCTCACTGACTACCTTCCTCACTGACTACCTTCCCTCACTGACTACCTTCCTCACTGACTACCTTCCTCACTGACTACCTTCCTCACTGACTACCTTCCTCACTGACTACCTTCCTCACTGACTACCTTCCTCACTGACTACCTTCCTCACTGACTACCTTCCTCACTGACTACCTTCCTTCACTGACTACCTTCCTCACTGACTACCTTCCTCACTGACTACCTTCCTCACTGACTACCTTCCTCACTGACTACCTTCCTTCACTGACTACCTTCCTTCACTGACTACCTTCCTTCACTGACTACCTTCCTTCACTGACTACCTTCCTCACTGACTACCTCCACACTTGCCCTAGGTAATTTCCAACTTCACAGACACTCCACAGTAGCCGTACCATTTCCAGTCCTCCGCCCACTGGTGTATTAGGTGCAATGGCTAATCTCAAGCCTCTTTCTAATCTCGTGTGGTCTGATGATGCCACTGCTACAGCAGTCCGCCCCCTTCTCACTTACTGATACAGGACTGAGCCTTCAAGAGCAGACTGTTTAGTAAAATGACTGCCGTCCCCAGACTAAGAAAGATATCCAAACCAGTAAGTCTGTAAATCACTACAGAAATACAATACACATACTGAAGCAGCTAAAATGCCAGACAAAATTTCAAAACTTTTCTGGTAAAAATGATCAATAACCTGAAAGCATACAAAGCAGATAAATTAAATCCACTCCCAGAGAGCTGAGTCAGCAACACACAGGAGAAAAAGTCTACAAAATAGATGAGAAATCTGAATGGAAAAAGCAATACAGAAGAAAAAGCAAGAAAACTTGAGATTTTAGGTGTGTGTGCGTGGGGGGGGGGGAATGTTAGAAACACAAACTCAGTGAAATAAATAATATGACTGCATGTACAGTGTTTTCTCCTGTACCAACTGTCACTATAGAGGAATGTATTTCTTTATCTACAAAGACAAGTTGCATAAAAAGGTATTAAGTAAAAAGTATTACTTGTGAAAATGGAGTCTGGGGTAGCAAAGTTATGGTCTCTAAACAGAATCCCTCCAAACCCTCCTGTAGGTGGGTACTCAACAAGGTTTAACATTTAACAAAGACAAGGACTTCTGAAGCTCATTTCCTGTCCAAGGGGAAATGAGAATTAGCAGTCACAGAGAAACCCAGCTCAGAACTATTTTCTTCAGTGGTGGAGCCACTGGTAAGGTACGTGACTTCTGTAAAGTAAGCCTAATAAAACTCATTTGGTTATAAAAACAGGACAAAAACAAAAAATGTCCATAAGAAGGTATGAGGGAGCAGTGGGAGTGGGACAAGACAGGATAACGAGGTTAAGTGTGATTAATATCCTATATACTTGTATGTGAAAAGGTCATGATGAAACTAACATTACAACTAATATACGCTAATAAAATATACCAGAAAAGGGTCCAATATTTCAGTTACAAATACAGACAACAAGGAAAGCTATAGCCCAATATAACTCCTTACATGCTTTTTCTTCATCTTCACTATCAGAGAGCACAGCAGCCTTCCGCTTTGCTACTTTCTCCTCATCTCCCTCCTTTTCTTCATCTTCATCACTGTCCATTTTCTGCCTTTTCGGTCCTTCCTCCTCACTGTCAGAGCTGTGGAGTCTTTTTCTGTCTGTATGGCCCTCTGACTCATTCTGCATTTCCGAATCTTCCCTCTTACTCTCTCCATCACTATCATCTGACTCGGGCTTGTCTTTGTGTCTGGAGACATCCTCAGCTTCCGAATCACTAGCAGGTCCTTTCTGAGGCTCCTCGCTTTCCGAGTCGCTGACTCGGGGTTTGGGGAGCTCCTCGCTTTCCGAGTCACTGGCCTGTGGCCTTGGAGGATCCTCACTTTCCGAGTCGCTGACTCGGGGTTTGGGGAGCTCCTCGCTTTCCGAGTCACTGGCTTGTGGCCTTGGAGGATCCTCACTTTCCGAGTCGCTGACTCGGGGTTTGGGGAGCTCCTCGCTTTCCGAGTCACTGGCCTGTGGCCTTGAAGGATCCTCACTTTCTGAGTCACTGATCCGAGGTTTGGGGAGCTCCTCACTTTCTGAATCACTGATCCGAGGTTTGGGAGGCTCCTCATTTTCTGAGTCACTGGCCTGGGGTCTTGGGGGATCTTCGTTGTCAGACTCGCTGACCTGAGGCTGCAGAGTGTCCTCAGCTTCAGAGTCACTGGCAGTAGGTTTTCTAACCTCTTCCTTTTCGGAGTCACTTGCATGCCCATTAAGAAGCTCTTCATTTTCAGAGTCACTCCCATGCTGGTTGACATCTTCGTTTTCAGAGTCACTGGCAGGAGACTCTGCATGCTCCTCAGATTCAGAGTCACTGTCTTTTGGCCTGTGAAGTTCCTCACTTTCCGAGTCACTGGCATTAAGATTGGAGGGCTTATCATTCTCAGAGTCTGTTCCATTATGTCTCTTGTTCAAGCCATCTTCTCGATCACTAGTTTCATTCTGAAAACATAAGGAAAAATTAGCACTGTCAAAAAAAAAAGGTAGTGCAACCTTAAAATCTTTCAGCAATTTTTTTAAAATGTAGGAATATGTGTATACTTAAAGAAGATTGTTCATCCTACACCAATAAAGAAACATCACTTTAACCTAAGGCCAGTCTGTGAAATGGACTGTCATAGCCTGGTTCCCAAAGAGAAGTATAACCAAATCTGTAAAGCATACCCCTATATAGAGAGGTCTCTATTTTTAAAAACAGCCTTAACTCCTCATATAATTCTAGTTACCCATAGAAATATAAGCAAACATACAACCAAGTTTTTCACAAAGGTATAATCCCAAGTTTTATAAAATTAGCATTATTTTAAGGAAAAAAGCTTTAATATAAAAACTTTAATTATTCAAATAGTCAAACAGAATATATTCATTCACCCATGAAAATCTCAACAAACTAAAAGCCAGCATTACACCTGGCTGTTTCCTGTTGGTTGGTTCACTTTCTCTTCATAACAAAACAGACTTCCTTGCAAACAGAGGATGTGGTGTAAACCTGTCAGCACTCAGGAGGCTGAGGCAGGAGGCATGTGAGCTTGAGGCCTGCCTGGGCTATAAAGTAAGAGACCCTGTGTCCAAAAAAAAAAGGGCGGGGATGAGAAGGAATGGTAGAGGAAGGAATATGGGGAGGGATAACTAATACTTAAGGCTTTTTGAAAAAGTCATATGGAAACCTAGTACTGTAGAAGCTTCCTAGAATGTATACACATATAAAGAAGAGTTTAAATGGAACTAATATATAACAGTGTGACAATATCCTAACTGGATACCACATGCTACCAAATAAAAACCCAGTACCAAGAACAGGATTTCTTTTTGAATAACTCTTTCAAAATAAAGTCCAAGGCAGCCATGGTGGAACATACTTGAAATCCCAGAACTAAGGGGATAAAGGAAAGCCACACATTCAAGGCTAGTCAGGGATATACAGTGAAGAACAGGCTAGCCAGGGCTACATAACAAGACTTCAGAGAGACACAAACAATGTTTTAGTTACTTCTCTTCTGTTGTGATTCCAGCACTGTCATCTTCAGCAGGCATGCATGCAAGGCACTGGAGCAGCACCCGAGTGCTCACATCTCTGCCCACAAACAGGAAGCAAAGAGCTCTAACTCAAAATGGCACGAGACTTATGAAGCCTCAAAACCTACCTCCAGTGACATACTACCTCCAAGAAGGCCATACTGTCTACTTCTTCCCAAATAGCCACCAACTGAGCACCAAGTGTTGAAGAGAGTTATAGTGGACCACCATAAGTCAAACCACAATAGACACAGAGAGAAACAAGGTTCAAGGTACAAACATGATATATACATCATATAAAAATGATGAAAAGATAAAAATTAAACATGCCAAAAACAAGTATTTTAAGATTTAGAGTAGTCTAGAACCTCAATTTTATTTTTAGAACCTCAATTTCCAATAAAATATTCTGTCCTAAAAAGTATAAGGAGAAGCTCAGTGGCATGGCTCAATGGGAAGGGCACTTGCTACCAAGCCTAGTAACTCTGAGTTTGGTCCCCAGAATCCACATGGTAAGAGAGAATTGATTTCTCCAAGTTGTCCTCTTGTCCTCTAACCTACAGATACCTACACACACACACACACACACACACACACACACACACACACACACACACACACAGAGAATAACAACAAAATCCCCCAAAAGAGGTAAGAGAGCTAGGTCTTAAAGTGCACAGATGTAGTAGTTAGCACCACAGGACATTAACTCAAGATCAACATGCTACAGGTTATTTCAAAACAGAGATAATTGGGTCATTACCCTGAAGTACCATCAATAGTGTGACACGGCTCTAACTACTAAACCCTAAACTTCAATGTAAAAAAAAAAAAAATCCAAATTTTAGTTGTGTATGGTGGCATGTACCTTTAATCACAGAATTCAGGAAGCAGAGGTAGGTGGTGAGTTTGAGGCCATCTAGGGCTACATATTGAAATTTTTGGGGAAAAATAAATAAATAAAAAGCCTAAAATTTAAATACCTCAAAGAGACAAGCTAACTGGCCCAAGGAAGATGGATGTGACTTAACTCACAGAGGTTAACAGGCAACACAGAAGCACTAGGAGACAACATGAGTGGGGGAGCCCTCCCAAAGTGTATCTGCTACCCTCTAACCTAGATTTCCTAATGCATGGGATATGCACTGCAAAATAAGCAACTATTACAAGGATATTACACAGGATACTAACTGTGAAATAGGAATTCCTATCATTTTAAAATTTTACTTATTTTTTTTTAAAACAGAATTTCACTATGTAGCTCTGGCTGTCCTGGAACTTGCCATGTTGACCAGGCTGGCCTTGAACTCAGAGATGCTTCTGTCTGTGCCTCCTAAGTGCTAAGATTAAAGGTGTGCTCCACCACACTTGGCTCCTACCATTTTTAGCTTCATAAACACCTGAGCACTCATTCATTATATAGCAGCATGAAGGGAAGAAAAAGAGCAATAGCCCCAGCCAAGAAAGCTAGTTCTGGCCATAGGCACACAACACATCTTCTATCTCAATCACTCAGACCTCTGTGAGCTTAAGGCCAGCCTGATCTAAATAGTGGAGTTCCAGGCTAGCCAGAGCTACATGGTGAGACCCTGTCTCAAAACAAACACAACCAAAAAGAAAAAAGAGGAAGAACTAGTAAATAGACTCAAGCAGAGGGTAAAGACATTACAGAATTTGAGAAGACTGTATTAAACATTATATAGCTAAAAGGTCTGAAAGTTATTAAAATACTTTAAATTTTTGGCCTATTTTAGCAATCAAACTGAAAAACTTTTTTTTTTTAAATAGAAATCAGAAAACAAAATATAAGAACATTACAAATTGTCACCAAAGTTTCTTTTCTTTCTTTCTTTTTTGATTTTTTGAAACAGGGTTTCTGTGTGTAACAGCCTTGGCTGTCCTGGAACTCACTTTGTACACCAGGCTGGCTTTGAACTCACAGAGATCCACCTGTCTCTCCCTCTTGAGTGCTGGGATTAATGTGTACACCACCACCGCCTGACCAAAATTTCTTAAAAAACAACCCACCACCCACCCCACCCCCACCCCACCCAGGGCCAAGTATCCCAGATTGGCCTCAAATTTACTACATAGCTAGATGACCTTGAACTTCTAATCCTTCCTGATTCTACCTCCTGAAAGCTGGGATTACAATTGCGCACAACTACATCCAGTTTATACAGTACTAGGAATTGTACTCCTAGGAACTGGAGGGGACTATAACGTTCTAGGCAAGCACTCTATCAATTGAGCTACATCCCCAGACCAAATGTCATCTTTTTAACAAGCAAAAAATTCCCACTTAGAACTGTCAGAAAACTGAGCACTTTGAGGATCTTAGGAAGCTTTAGAAATGTCTGTATCTCAAGTTTTCTCTGCAACCATTCACACTGCAGTTATAAATAACTATTGGTTATCTATCATAGTCATCTTGTTCATTTCAGCATTCAAATAGCAATCATGCTGAAACAGATTAGGTCCACAGCACATAACAGAAATAATCGACCTTTCAGTTGTGAGCCTTAGCCTTTAACTGCTGAGCCACCTCTCAGCCTGAATTAACATTCTTAAAGTGAAAAGAAAATAGCTGTAAAGCAATGATTTGTAATACGAGGGAAGGGAAAGGAAAAGAAGGGGGAGTCTTTATTAAATATCACAATTCTATCAATCCAATGTAAGCTCCCAGGGAGAATTTCAATGTTTTAAAAATTCAAGTTTTACCAAGCGGGTGGTGGTGGCATACACCTTTTACCCCAGCACTTAGGAGGCAGAGGCAGGTGGATCTCTGTGAGATCGAGGATAGCCTGGTCCACAGAGTGAGTTCCAGGATAGCCAGGGCTACACAGAGAAACCCTGTCTTGAAAAACAAAACAAAACAAAAAACTTGGCAGCCATAAAGTTTGGCAAAAACACTCCTCATGAAGCCTTTTCCATTCTCTCTGCACAGAATAGAGTTTGTGCAACATAATGTGAAAGTTAAGAACAGAGACTTTAGAGTCACAGAACCTGGGAAACCACAGACCTGCCATTTTCCATTGTGTGACCTAGGAAAACATTCTCAGTGCCTCAGAGCCTCTGTCAGAAACAGGAATTATACTTTAAAGAGCTGCTCTGAACATTAAATGCATGAAAAGCTGCTAATATCAAAACCTTACTACTTACAATTATTAAATATACAATCATTAAAGACACAGCACAAACATATCCTATGATAGTAGAGCTGGTCATTCCTCTTTCATATCCCCCTATAGTATCTTCTATTTCTACATCACCAAAAAATAAGACTCCACCTTTATATTCCAAGTCAAAAATTTTAAATTTATTTTATATGCATTCGCTCTGTGTGTGTGTGTGTGTGTGTGTGTAGGCCTGGTGCCTGCGGAGCCAGAAGAGGGCATCAGATCCCCTGGAACTGGAGTTATAGGCGGCTGTGAGCCACCATGTGGGTCCTGGGAATAGAACCTGTGTCCTCTATAAGAGCAATAAGTGCTCTAAATCACTGAGCCATCTCTCTAGACACCCATTTTGACAACATTTTATAGAATTCATGGAACAGTACTTGTATAAAACCCCACACAAAGGGGGCCAGGGAGATGGCTCAATGGTTAAGAGCACTTCCAGAAGACGTAGGTTCAGTTCCTAGCACTCACATGGTGGCTCACAACTATCTGTAACTCCAATTTCAGGAGATCTGATGCTCTCTTCTGGCCTCCAAGGGCACTGCACACATGTGGTGTAAAAACATACATGGAAGTTGAACATACACATAAAATTAAAAAATAAATTTTTAGGGCCAGGCGGTGGTGGCAATGCCTTTAATCCCAACACCCGAAAGGCAGAGCCAGGCAGATCTCTGTGAGTTCGAGGCCAGCCTGGTCTACACAGTGAGATCCAGGACAGGCAACAAAACTACACAGAGAAATCCT